AAAGCTAACCTCTAGATGCAATGCTCGACCATAAGCTCCAGTGAAACAAGAAAAAGGCACAGGCCTATCACGTTTATTTTCAGTTGGTGAGTCAAAATATTGAGAAAAAGGTGAAGTTTAAAAAGATTATGCCAGCTACATTGCGTGGTATAATTATATGGGTTAGTTTCTGCATAAAACAACTATAACCAGTAGGATATGCAAACCTAAAGAGGAAGCCATCACCAGCAACAGAAAACCTTCGTATATTCCAAGTGCTACACCTGCCAGTCCATGCTTACACAATTTCAAAGCTCCATCCATACGGAAAGATCAATTTTCATGGCAGTAACAACGTCCAATTTCAAAAAAAGATTGAAAATTTGTGAGGAAAAGATAAAAGAAGTTTCATTTTGATGAGATCTAATACTTAACAGGCCCAAAATTCTGTTGGATTAAACGATCATATCCTCAACATATAGTAATGATAGTCTCCAATTCTGAAGGCAATCGGTATGACAAAAGGTAGTAACATTTGTTGGTTTTCAAAAATAATGCTTCAACAAATAAAGATTTAAGCCAGGGCATGAAAAGGAAAACCAAGTCAAGGACTAGAAAATGTCGTTCCAAAACATTTTACTTGCTTCAGCATCCTAAATGCTAATCAGTTAATGGAAGATGGGGCAAAATTCAGATTATAAGTTTTATCCAATTGAATATGCACGTGGATGTTAGAAAGCTGTTTGTTTGACTTTCTAGTTTTATCTTTTCAGTTCTTCATAAATTTGCAACATTTGACAATGTTCTAATTCTTAGATTTGAACCTTTTTTTAGAACGATTCAATTTATCAATAGAACACTACCAAGGTTTCCAAACTATTACTGGACAATCGCATAATTTTATGTTCCAATAATCTTCCTTCAGAGTGTTCATAGATCAATTTTTTTTTTTTTATGAAGAAAAAAAATTATTTTCAATTTCTAACAATATTTTGATTTAATTAATATACTTGTACTGGTTGTATAGGTTGTTGTTCGTTACAACAGTTTACCTACATAGGTTAGTTAAGCTCTTAACCAACCAACCAGTTACATGAGTGGATAAATACCCTCCCTTCCATGCTTCAACGTTAGATTATCAGCACTAAAATTACTTTCAAGTGTTTACACCAATTTTGACATCAGAGTCTTCATGAAAGAGGACCTAATGGTGGGAAGATCGTCACGACCTCCAAAATCGACACAGTTCATTCCAGTTTGGATTCCATAACTACACCAACAATTTGTTCTCCAAAAATTTAAATCAACGCTTGTTGTAGGTTGAAGAGTCTATCGGGGAGATTAAAACAAACACAGAAGAAACGAAACACGTGATGGGAATAATAGCCCAACAATTAGAAAGAATTGAAGTGAGTTTAGATCAACCATATGGTCAGGAAAGAATTGGGAGAAATGATATTAATCTTCATCTCAAAGGACATGGATAACACACAACCAGCTAGAATGCTCCAAGAACATTGAAATGCACGAGTACCCTATCAAGATTTGGATTGTTCAAGCAAGGAAGAGGCATTTCTTCAACAACAGCCAGTCTTTGAACTAGTACATGAATGACAAGGAGTGTTCTACATCATCACAGTTTTGAAACACAATATTGCAAGATAAATACTGACATACCCAGCTTTGATGATAAGCTGGACGTCATAGTTTTTCTCGGTTGGATCAAGTATACGGAGAGCTTCTTCAATTACACTGACACAGCGGAGGAGAAAAGGTGAAGTTGGTGGTTTTAAGACTAAAAAGTGGCGCATCTGCATGGAGGAAAAAAAATCCAAGGGAATCAAAGAAGGTGTGGGAAGAAACCAATCAAGACTTGCCCAAAAATGCAAAAGCTAATGAAAGAAAGATTTTTACCTATCAACTACGAGCAAATTCCACATAAAAAAAATACTGCCGTCGCAAACAATGGACCCAAACAGTGGCAGAATACACAGAGGAATTTGATCGAGTGTACATAACAGTCTTGCTGAAGACGACAACCATCAAATCGCAAGATATGTGATCGGTCTACAGCAGAAATCCAAGAAAGGGTGAAGATCCAACCTTTGGGGTATCCCACAGAGGCAAGTTGAGGAGCAAATTGATAGGCGCCAAAAACGACAGCTGAATAGGAGACTGCCGTACGAAAAACAGAACATGCCCATCTTTATTTTGAATGTCCAATGAAGGCCTAGACTTCTAAGTTCAATCCCAGTCTATTTTTTCCTGGATAACAGGAGTACGGGCAGGTACCAATAATGAAGACGACACTTACATGTCCTTCCACAATTCCCAGCTAGGAAGCTAATTAATAGAAAGTATGTGCATTATACACTGCTGTGGAAGGCAAATACTTGCTTAACTACCGCTAAATCGTCAAGATCCTTGTGTTCAAATCGGCAGCTCATAGGCCTCACAAGTAAATGAATGAAAAAAAAAAAAACGTTTTACATACGTTAGAAAGAACGAGTGTGTCAGTTAATGAAGCTAAACAAGCAAATTCTTTGAATCGCTTCCTCACGGTTCCTCCACCAATAAACCAAACTGACATTTGACGTCGTTAAACACTCAATCATACAAAATTCCGCGCCAAATGAATCAAAGTGTCAAATCCCGCACATCAACAACATACCAAGTCCACACAGAAACAAAAGAAACAACAGGTCACGTACAAATTAAAAACAACTTCAACCAAGAAGATCGACGACCATACAGCAAAAGCTAAAATCAAGCGGTTAATCAGTTGAAAAGTGACTGATAAAAGTACCTAGAGGAGATAGGTGAAGACGAATGGAAAGCTCCTAGACGAGCTCGGAGAAGAGAACGAGCGCGGCCAATAACCGGATCGCGCAGCCTATAAAGCGACATAGTGATCCTCCTTCAGAGAGCAGATTCAGATGCAGAAATCGCGTATTTGACTTGCAATTATAAAGAAAACTACGAGACGGCAATGGCATAGGTCGGAGCAGAATCACCGGACGACGGATTAAGAATATCACTCCCGATTGAGTTTTGATTCTGTATATAAAATACAAAATCAGGGTACAGACATAATTGGAGAATTTAGCTGAAAATTTCTCGTCTAAACGAAAGTGTTTTCAACTCCAAATGAATTACGGAATATGTTCAGAAAATAAATAAAAAAAAAAAAAGAAATAAATCTCATTTCATCTCAACTAACATCTATTTATTTATTTATTTATTATTTTTTTTTTTTTCTGTTTCCTAGGGAATCTTCCAATTATTTTAATCTCAGTTAAATAAATCAACTTTTACCGCACATTTTTACTATTCTACCTTAACCTAAATTATCAGATAAATATTGCAACCATCACTTAATGAAGAGATTAGGTTATTGCCAATGATATCATAGCCACACTCGAGATAGTGTGCTAGTGAGGACACTGACACTCAAAGATGGCGGATTGTGAGGACTTATTGAAAAGGGGATTGAAGCATTTCTTACAAGGGTGTGAAAAACTCTCCCTAACTGTCGTATTTCAAAATCGTGAACCTGATGGCGATGCATAACAGACTAAAATTGATAATATCTTCTTGCGGTGGACTTGGGCGGTTACAAATATACAAAGATAAAAAAATATTAAATTATTAATTTGTGCATTAGTTAGTAAATTTTATATTTTTAAATTAAAGCGTTTTTAGATGTTTTATATAATTAATAGTGGAATTATAGCATTTAATATCTAGTTCAATTTGATAAATTTGGAAATTAATAGCAAAAAATATTTATACTCTAAATTCTGAGAGTTTTATTAGTTCATTTGAACTAAATTAGATCCCAACTTTTTAAAATAAAAAAAGTAAATTAATTGGAAGGTTGATTATAAATAGGCCTTTGGGCCGACTCAAAATTGGCCCACAACTATATGGGCTGGCCAAGTTTAGTCCATGGGCCCCCATGTAGTGTAGCATTCCAAACTTCATATATCGGCCCACGATTCTTTATAAAACAATATTTTGAAAATTGTGGACGCTTAACTAAAAAAAGATAAATATCTAAAATTTTGTAATATTGATAATCTCGTAATCTCGACCATTTTTTAATTAAAATTAGTATTTTGAAAAATTTTTAAATATCTAAAACAATATTTTGAAAATGGTGACGCTTAGCATTTGATAATTTGATTTTATATTCATTTTAAAGGTGTAATAATTTTGGATAGTACTTCAGAGAAAATAGACATGTTTAGGAAGATTTAGACTATCTAGACTTAGGACAGAAAAAATCTATAAAGTTTCATTGTTTCCCATGATTGACTTGGGTCTTTTCTACCCAACTTGGGTGAAGGGCGAAGAAGGCCCGAGTCATCAGTGAGATCTTGGACCTTCTTTTGTACACAATTTAGGTGGAGGGCGAAGAAGGCCCGAGCCATCAGTGAGATACACCTAAGATGTGTTTCCTCTTTAATTTTACAATCACTTCAAAATAATTATTTTTATTTAGGTTTCCGTTAAAATGAGACGAGAAAAAAAAAAAATGTCACATGGCAATGAGTTGTGAAAGTGACAAACAATACACGTGAAAGTATAAATATAGTATATCTAGGACCATATTTCTAAATTGACAAACAATACACGTGAAATTTATAAATATAGTATATTTAGGACCATATTTCTAAATTTTTTTACTAGATGCAAAACTACCTAGTCTCCCAATTAAAATAAAGACCGAAAGAAATTGAGAGGCTACACAATATTAAGATGATTTTTTTTATTATTATTATTTAGTTCAATAATATAGAAGATTTGAATCTCAAAATTTTTGGACTAGAATTCATAGAAGAATATATATATCTAAGTAAGTTTATTAGCACAAAAACCTGAATTATAAAAGAAAAAAAAATTGAATGCTAAAAAAAAAAGTGTAAAACGTTCATTTAGTCTATAAAATTTATTGTTACATTTTGTAATAATAATAATAATTAAAAAAAAAACTGTAACTTATTTTTTAAAAATGATTTTCAGTATCTATGTCAAAAGTTGAAAAAGATACCAAAAGGGGTGTCTTGGAAAGAGGTAAAAAAAAAACAGAAGGTCGCGAGATTAAGTACTGAATGTCAGGAAGGCTGCTACCATGCTGACCAGTGGTACTGATATGTTATCATCTACAACATCGGCAATTGGGAGAGACTCCACCACAGTTGCCACAAGAGCAACGAAAGCAACTTTCTGGACTGCTTTTATCCAATCCACCTCCAAATATCCAAGAACTGAGTAATAATATAACACCCTACGCACACAACAAGTATCAATCTTAGTGGTAAGAGTCAAAGTTCACGGGTGCAGATATTCTACTTTTTAGGTTTTTTCTTTTAGGCTTCCTCCTCAAGGGTTTAAAACGCATCTGCTAAAAAGAGATTTTCACATTCTCATAAGGAATGTTTTGTTCTTTTGTCCAACCAATGTGAGATCTCCTAATCCACTCCCTTGGAGGCTAGCATGCACACCATTCGGTGACTGGCTCTGATACCATTTGTAACAGCCCAAGTCCACCGCTAGCAGATTCGGGGAGAGGTCTCCACACCCTTATAAGGAATGCTTCGTTCCCCTTTCTCACTAACAGTAGTGCTTTGAAAGAAAGCAGAAGGAACTCACCCGATGGAGACGCAAAATCCAAAGATGAACATTGATATGCTACCAATCCAACTTTTCCCCTCATTATAAGGAAGCCTTTTGGACCCAAATTTTCTTCCCATTATATCAGCAATGCCTGCAGTTAACTTCAGGTTAATAGCAGTTATGATGGTTTTTCACTAAAGGGGGCATGACACAAGCACCACGCCTTTAGAGAAGCCGAAAATTACCATCCCCCCCACACATCATTGCCAGTGAGATCAAGCCAATAGGAGATTCACGCCAAAAGACAACAGCTGACAGAATCAGCATCAGGACATAAAAAAGAGGGCCTCTCAGCAATTCCCTGCAAATTTAACAACACGTGCCTGAATTGATTAAAGGGGTTGTGATTGAGGAATATAATTTAAGAATTTGCCAATGCTGAAAGGGTAGTTGAAAGTTTACTCTGGTTTTCCTTCCCTAGTAAGGGATTTTAAAAGTCCTTCATCTTTGGCCAATGAGAGGCCATTGATAACAAGCTTCAAGAAATTCACAGTTGGAACTATGGAAGCAAAGTAGCGAGCCTTCGTTGAGGTGCTATTCCAGAATTAAAACGATAAACTGAAGTGGTTGAGAAACACGCAGATTTAAATCATTGGTATGCAAAATAAATGAGGCGAGAACTTCTCTGCAAGGGAAACAAGTTGATTACCTGAATATAGGCCAAGACATCATGAAAAGCAATCCGGACAATATGTGGACAAGTTTTCTGCTCAATTTCTGTTTCATTTAAACACGAGTTACTAGAAGAGAATATTGATGCTATTCATGAAAAGTAACAAGGAATACAATACTTTCTGTGAGATTTCACTCTTCTTTCACGTAACTAATATTTTCTACATGATCAGAAGACAAATGAATTAATTTGAATAACAAAAGAATCAATATCTCCTACAGTAAGTTTGTAACGTGCAGAGAAAAGTTATTTGAATTATGAAAGAATTAATATGCAGTACAGTTGTTATTGACTTCCCTAACCTACCAGTACTGGGCACTCAGCTAGCGCAATAAACAGGCCACTAAATACAGAGCCAAGTGGAAGAAAATGGGAACTAAATGCTACTGAACAGATCCATTAACATACAAAAGTAAGAATTATAGTTTACCATATTCGACAATTTATTATATCTTGTATCCATTATTACTCTTTCCATTCTTTCCATTTATTTGACCCTCTCTCCCTACTCTCCTTCTTCCTCTGAGTTTCTCCCTTCTACTTCATGGATTAGGCATATTTTCGTCGGAACCAGGGCAGCATCGCTGTTAGACGATCACTCTGCAGTTTACTTTAAAGATACAAGATATTTGCCTATAATAAAAGGTCAAATATGATATATGTGGAAAACCGAAGACCTCAACTAACATGGAGATACTCAAGAGTCAGTTACCATGGCAGATGCTTCCAAAACATTTGAAAAGGGCTATGAAGAATTCTAATTCAATTTTTGTAAAATTATCTGATTCGGCTTCTGTACAAATACCTACATGCTAAATGCAATGAACTACTTACTGCTCATATGAATTTTCAGTTTCTGAATATGCTGAAATTCATATGCCTAAGCAAGCGAGAAGCGCAAGGTTTTCGATTAACTCGAAATGTAGAGAATCTCGCCAGACTTTACTGTTTACACTCTGAATCAACAAATTTCCGTATTTATTAACTATGCTTATGTGTGAGTGACTGTGAGGGTCTCCCAAGAAAAATTTGATTCCACCTCCATTTTGAGAAAGGAAAACCAGAGATTCATAACTTCCTTACAAATAATCGCCCTTCCATTTGGGGAAATCGAAATACACCTTTCTGAGGCGCAAACTAAATGGTACATATCGTTTTCCACAATTTAACAATATACAAAACATACTAAAAGGTTTTCCAAAATCCAGATCTCTGTTTACACGCATCTAATTACTACGAAACTAAAACTAGAAAAACTTGCATGTGCTATCGAGGAAGAGAACGAATTCGACAGACCTGTTGAATCAAATTCCGCCGCGCCAGATTGTTGAATCCGAGAACAAGCGAGTAAGCGCCGGTGAGGACGGCCGCCGTCGCACCGGCATCATGCAAAAGATCGCCGGAAACTGCACGTGGAGGTGAAAGGAGGTCAGAGGAAGAAGACGGAATCTGAAACGCCGGCGGTGTACGGTTGAGAGTTCGAAAAGATAGAATCCGACGCTGCTTCAGTTCACCGGATAGCGAAAAAACAGCGGCAGCACTCGTATCCCGATCCCGGCGAGAGCGGAGACGAGAATCCGAGCAGCCAATGGCTAAGAGGCTCATGGAGGCTATCATGGCCGAACAAATCAACTGAAATGGAATGGCAGTGAAGATATATGAAACAATATATATATATTATTAGAAGCAAAAAAAAATGAACGCATTGAATAACTGCATGTTGAAAGAAAATATCCACGACGCTTGTCTTGAAATTTACAAAATTGTTTTAAACGAAAATTTTATTGTAATATTTAAAATTTATTATATTTCAGTCTTTAAAATTTTAAAAATATATATAATTTTCGGTTATTACATTAATTTTATTTTTAAAAAAATTAACTACTTACTTTTATATTAATACAGAAATAATTTAAATTTAAAAATGAGAGAAAAGCCCGACTCGTAGTATATATACACAGACCCGTTATTAGATAAAACGAGTAATAGTTTCTCTCATATATTGAATCAAATAACATAAAACAGACAAATTACATTACATAAGGATTTTAAAATAATTTATCGAAGAGCGTAAAATGGTTGGTTACATGCATAAGATCGTTAAATAAATTTATTGAGTACGAAATTAATTATAATTTTTCTTTCGTACATTAAATTGTAGGTTGAATTTTTGATATTTTAAGTCCGATAATTAAAAATAAAGAAGAAAAATTAAAAAAAAATGGTTAAGCAATAAAGATTTACTCATCGGCGGTGATTGCGACGGCCTACCGGTGATTGGTTGCAGCATGCGGCGGCCATTTTCATTTTTTGATTCTTATTGGATATTTTATATCCAATTTTTTTACCAATTATTGAATACCACAAAAAATTCTAAACGTACTATATATACATACATACATTCATACATTCATACATACATACATACATACATATATATATATATATATATATATTATTTATGCATTTATTTAATTATTGAATACCACAAAAAATTCTAAACGTACTATATATACATACATACATTCATACATACATACATATATATATATATATATATATATATATATATTATTTATGCATTTATTTAAAGAAAATATGTCTGATTTGTTTGATGATGATGTCGTTTCTGTTAATTTTCTATTGATTTAAAGAAAATATTTATTTATTTACTAATATTCATTTTTGATCGTTTCTATTAATTTTCTATTGATTAACTTAACTTTTAAAATTAAATTAATTCATTGTCACTAATTTTTAGTTATTATTAAAATTAATATAATATATAAATTAATTACTGAAAAGTTGTCAATCAAATATAAAGGTAAGTAAAACTCGAATAAAAATGTAAAAATTTTAAAGTTTAAAGACCAAATAAAAATTAAATACAGTTGAAAATAAATTAATTTAGAAAATGAAGAATTTTTTTTAATATATTAAAACTATGTATGATAAGGATTATTATTATTATTATTATTATTATTATTTTGTAAATATAGAACTAATTTTTTATTGGATTTTAAAGGATTTTTTTTCCAATAAAAGCAGTCTTCTTTTATTCTTGTTTTTTTGTTTTTTTTTTTTTTGTTGCAAATATATTTTTGATTAAATTCAATATAATAATTTTACATATTTATTATTATTTTTTAAATATTTTCCATGTAGCAGAAAATAATTATCGAACATATTTCTTTTGTTTTATTAAAAAAAGTGAAAATAATTGAACAAAACACTCAATAAATATACAAACTCCGTATATTTTAGGTTAATTTAATATATATATATATATATATATAAAAGTAAAATTTTTAAAACTTTTAAATCTTGTGTACTATAATATTTAAAATTTAAATATCGAAATTTTGAATATCATATTTTAAATTCTATATTAAAATCTTGTTTATGATAAATAAATAAGCTTTATTAATGGCATAAGAATAAATATCTAGCAAGAAATTATATACTTAAGGACAGTCTAAATCAAAATTAAAAGGCAAAAAAAAAAAAAAAAGTCAACTGATTTTAGTGTGTATAATATATGTAGTCAACCCTTTTTTTTTCTTTTTTTCTTGCTGTGATTAAACTACCAACGAATCATAAATGTCAACCCATTTGAAAATAACAAATAAATAAATACAAGATAATATATAAATAAATGTCAACCCGTTGACATTTATGTGTTCAAATTGGTTTCAGAAAAAAAAAAAATGATATATTTTTAACAAATTTGGTGAATTTTAAAATTGACTAAAAAAAGTTTATTTAGTTTAAAATTGTCACACAAGTTTGCACGTCCTAAAATTGACATCAAACGCTTCCCGAGTAAGTGTAAAATTAGGTTTAGAAAGGTAGTACGTGCCAAAACCAAGAGAAGTGTTGAAAGAGGAGATGACAAAAACGCCAACCAATGAACATACTGTAACGGAAGCATGAAGAAGAAAATAACTTCCATAATAATAATAATTATTAATTATATAAAATTGAAAATTAAGAATTAAAATAAACTAAATTATCGTATAGGGAAATATCTAAATATTTCCTAAATTAAATAAAAAAAATTTCATTTTGATTTCTAATTTTAAATAAATAGTAACAATAAATCTAATATAAAAGTTTTAGCTATTTGGTATAATTTAAATTTAAATATATTATTTAAAAAAAGTCAAAGATAACAACCAAAAAAGTCAAAGAAATATGAAGAAGAATGTCAACCGTCCGATCCCTCATCGCATTTCTCGCGGAATCTTCCGAGAATATTCCTTGTCAAGTCCGTCCAGGCTGAACGTCATGTCGAATTATGTATTCCGACACGTCGTTTTAGGCAAAAAACGGCTAAATATGCTTTGGATTTGCTAGTTGGCATTTATTTAAAATTAAAATTGAAAAAAAAAAAGAAAAAAAAATTGATATAAAATTTCGTTCGATCGTTGAATTGAAAGAGCCTTTGTTTCACATGGGAGTTGAAACTCGTTCTTCTTCCCTCCACTTTCGTCTCTAGCAGTTAATTTCCCTTTCCTGGCTTCTCACCGGACGTTATCGAGAATTTTTGCCCTTTCCCCTCCGATTTTCTCCCTTTCTCCGGCGAAAATTTGATCATGGGAGGCGGCGGCGGGTCAAATCCAGGTCCCGTTTCGTGTGGGTCATGGATTCGGAGGCCCGAGAATGTGAACTTAGCGCTTATTGGGAGGTCTAGGCGACCGGATTCATCTCCTTCCGTGCTCGAGATCTTTTCGTTTGATCCCAAGATCACTTCTCTTTCGGCCTCTCCTCTGGTTTTTTGTTCTCTCTCTCTCTCTCTTATTTGATTTTTTTTAATTGAATTTGAAGTTCTTCTTGTGTCTATTACAGTATTTTTGCGAAATTGAAGATAAAATCAACTGGATAGCTAGGGTTTTTCGATTTTGTTGCTTGACCTGATTATTTATTTTTATTTTTTTTGTTTGTAGACTGAATTTGTGTTTGAAGAATGCGATGGTGATCTTGTTAGTGTTGCTGTTCATCCCAGCGGGGATGAAATTGTGTGTTCTACCACTCAAGGGGGATGCAAGTAAGTTGTCTTGTTTGGTATGAACATCTGAGAGTCTGTATATTTCATGTATATTAATATAATTGGTCAAACTATGATTCATTGTTTGTCATGGAGAAGATAAAAGACCATTGAAGTTCCTTGATCATCTGCTTACTACTTCAGGTTCCCCTATGAGATTTAGTTTTAAAGCTTTTTTTTTTTCTTTTTTTTCTCGTAGGACATTAATGTTCTGTTCTGTGTTCTATTATACTAGACGTGCTATTGAATGTAGAGGGCATAACTTTCTGGCCAAGTTATCATCTAGGTTCAGTAAGATTGACATTTTTTGTTATTTTTATGCAAGTGACATGACTGATAGGTCTACTGGCTTGATTGCTGATTCATGATCTTTTTAATAAAGATGTATAGTTTCACGGACACATATGGAATTTGATACTGTAGTATAGTGAGTTGAGATTTCTCCATGCAGTTTTAGTGCTTGGATGTTGGCTTGATGCTCGGATGTTTCGTTTTTTTTCTTCTTAATATCACTCTGACTGCTAGTTTCTTGAATATGATGAAGATTTGAAGGCGTAGTTCTCTTTCGTTAATCTTGTAGATTATTCGAGCTGTGTGGTCAAGAATTAAACGTGAAGCTGTTGATGAAGGAATTGCCTCCACTGAATAATGTCGGTTCTCAGAATTGTCTCGCTTTCAGTGTTGATGGTTCTAAACTCGCTACGGGTGGGGTGGTAAGAATATCTCCTGTTGTCTATATTGTTCAATCTTCTTTTTATTCTCTTCATTCTAAAAAACATGGTGGATTTACTTTGATATCAAATTAACCGCAGAATGGACACCTCAGAATCTTAGAGTGGCCTAACCTGCGCCCCATTTTAGATGAACCAAGTGCGCATAAATCTGTAAGGGATATGGACTTTAGGTGAGCCATGAAGTTGTCTACTTCTGGTGTATTCTCATAATACGGCAACATCTTGTCTGTTTGTTTGTTTCCGCTTGCAGTATATATAGTTTATCTATTACGACGTCTTTGCGTGCTATAGAAATTTTAATGGGATGCCTTTTGAACACAGTTTGTATCTTGATCTTTTGAAACTGTTATTAGGAAAGTGTTCGTAACACCTTCAAATTTATACATAAATAATGATAGCAACGTTTTGTAGACCTCTTGACATTCTCTTGTTGCTATCAGAAGTCAGAACTATATAAAGAACTTTAAAACGCTCATCATCCGTGAACTTAGTTATCTGTTACTCTGACTATGGTGGATGAAAATTTTGCAAGTATTTGTTGGTTGAAACTGAAAATCTTTCTTCCCTTTCCAGATTTGAAAATGTCTTAATTTCTTCTTGTTCCAGCCTAGACTCAGAGTTCTTGGCTTCTACATCCAGCGATGGATCAGCCAGAGTTTGGAAAACTGATGATGGAGTTCCTATAACTACTTTAACCCGGAGTGCGGTATGGTAGTTATTTCAACACGCTTTTGTGTTTATTGCATTTTTCTTGTAATTAGTAACGTGTTCATTTCAATGATCAGGATGAGAAAATCGAGCTCTGTCGATTTTCCAAGGACGGCACTAAACCATTTTTATTTTGCACCGTCCAAAGAGGTAAGAACGTTTTCAGAACTGTGTAGTTATCTATCTCCAGTAATCTTATTGAATGGCTTATTGCCTTTCTGGAAACAGGCGAGAAGGCGGTCACTGCCGTTTGGGACATCAGTAACTGGAAAAGAATTGGGTATAAGAGGTTGCTGAGAAAGCCTGCTTGTGTAATGTCCATCAGTCGAGATGGAAAATATTTGGCTTTGTAAGTGCATCTCATCGTCAAATTGAGATAGCAGTGATAACACATTAGATTAATTGACAAATATTTTCCTCATATCTCACATATGATGATAGCTGTGATAACACATTAGCAAGATCATCTGAAATGGTTCAATATTCCTCTGTGAACAAACTCTTCATTCTACTTTCTTTTTTGGTTGTGTGCTTCGGTGTGCTTCACGCTTTATCGAAAGAGGTTTTTGATTAAATGTGAAAAAATTTCATTTCAGGGGAAGCAAGGATGGGGATGTATGTGTGGCTGAAGTAAAGAAAATGGAAGTCAGTCATATGAGCAAGAGGCTGCATCTTGGTACATCCATAAAAACCTTAGAGTTCTGCCCCAGTGAAAGGTAAAATTATTAAACTAAGCCAGTTTTCGATAGATCCCGAAATACATTGCAATGTAAATAAACTACAAGATAACTCAAGTAGCACAACAAACCCTTAATACTGTAACTACATTCCTAATGGTATTCCTAAAGGTTTTTTTCTGTCACTATTAGGGTATTTGCTCATGAATATTTTTTTTCTTTCCCTTTTGTAGGGTTGTTCTTACTGGTTCAGTCGAATGGGGGGCTTTGGTGACTAAGCTAAATGTTCCTGCCGACTGGAAAGGTAAATCTCTCTTTACTCCCTCTGCTCGAAGTCTATGACATTTCTGTCGTTGCAACGCGTAACATTATACCATGCTTAAAATTTGCAGAGTGGCAGATCTATTTGCTGCTCGTAAGTCTATTCGCTGCATCGGCTGTTGTTTTTTATATCTTCTACGAGAATTCGGATTCGTTTTGGCAATTCCCTCTTGGAAGAGATCAGCCAGCAAGACCCAGGTTTGATTCCTTTGTAGGAGATTCACAGTATGCTGATGATCCATTTGGACCAGTTGACATGTGAGAGCATCTGCTATGTTAACTATTAACGACCGAGCGATAGGATGGATCTCGAGTACTGGTTTTCGGTTCTTTAAACTTCATTTCAGGAAGCTTGTTTGCAGTTCTTTTGTTTAATGCAATTATTATGATTAAATTAGGTCTTGTCCGTGAGCATCAAGTTAAAATTACTGAATTCTTAATCATGTTTGGAAGTTAGACATCACAGGCGCCGTTGGTTGTATAATTATTTGATTATACAGTTTACCTAATTTATTCATCTTTTATGGTCAACATTCTTATTCCAAAAGACCATTTCAAATATTTTCTTTTGCCTCTATGTGATAAGATTTGAATATAGGTTCCTAATTTCCTCTTCTACTTTTTGGAAGAAATTTGAAACCACTGCCAAATTATTTACCCTTTTCTCTTGGGTTATAAATCAAATTTGTTTGTACCAGTTCAAGTCTACATAAATATGATATTGTCTTAAAACGGAGATGTTTTCACATCTTTACAAGGAGGTCTGTTTGTAACAACTCAAATCCACCCAACAGATATGATATTGTCTTAAAACAGAGATGTTTTCACATCTTTACAATGTCTGTTAGGGAGAGGTTTCCACCCTTATAAGGAATGCTTCGTTTTTCTCTCCAACTGATGTTGGATATCACAATCCACTCCTGGAGGTCCAACGATGCTTGGATCGGATACCATTTTTAATAGTTTAAGCCCACTACCAGTGTCTTATTTGGGCTTTCTCTTTTGGATTTTCTATCGAGATTTTAAAAAGCTAAAGAAAAGTTTTCCCTTTCCAACTGATGTGGAATCTCCCAATTATTTTTTAAAATAAAAAACAACAAAAATTAATTACTTTTAAGCATTTGAATAGCCATTCTAAACATGGAAATTTAATCAACCCGGTCAGCGCAAAATGCCTAATCAATATTTTATTTTTAGCATAATAGAGTCTGTTACAAGACAAGTCCTCAAGTACAATAGGGTATTATATGGGAACATTTTGGCATTCTCTAGATCTGAGCAAAGTTTGCAGATTTCCATACCATAGTTGTTGGCAGGGGAGAAAAAGACAGAACTAAATGCAAAGAGAAGAAAACAATATCTGAAAGTGGAAAGGAAACCATCAACTATCATGACTGACCAAAATTGCCTCAATAATTGCTATTTTGGTTGTACAGCAGCAAAAGGAATTTCCCTCATGTCTTGTTGCTATATATGAGGTAAGTGGAATATAGAAGAAAGAATTTTAAAGAATATTTAGAGTACCTCTCCCAAAATAACCTGGTGTTCTCTGGTAATATATGCCTCCAATAACCGAGCTGCAATTTCAGCTTTGCTTTTCTTCAGTTTTGTTGCCTAGAAATGCTCTGTAGAGTAAGTATAATTGAGAAAGAACTCAGATTCCTTAACGTACCGTATGTAACGAAAAAATGGTTTGATTCATTTTCCACGTAGGGAAGCTCTCTTTCAATCTCTTATAGCCAAGTCAGCAGTCAGAAGCTTTCAGAATTAGCTGGCTAAATAAGGTTCAGAATTCCAGCTTCTCATCCTGCAAGTGATTTTTGCTTGTATCCAAATTTCATCCTCTCCATTAGTTTTACTTTTGTGGTTCTCTTCTTGTCCATCTTCACCCTATACCTTTCTTCTCTTTCTCTCTCATATATCCCTTGCCAATGAACTTCCCCTGTTAATGGCCACAACCCCATTTGATTTGAACCACCTTCGTCATCTGCAGCTTCTGCTAAATCTTCATCCATACTCTTCAACAACGTGGAGTTAAAATATTTTGCCCACATAAATTCCCTGCGTTGTTCAACTGGATGCTGCTCTTCGAGGAAACCCGAGTGAGGATCGATATAAACCATCCTCCGTCCACTGTGGTACGCCCAAACATTGACCAGGATTTCCAGTATCCGACAGTAACAGTGTTTTTTCTGCTCATCATAGAAACTAACAGGAGTTGAGAGAGAGAATAGTATGGAAGGAAATGGATTGGACTCGAATCCTTACCTCAAGCTCAGAGGAAGCAAGCAAACATCCATATGGTTGACTTTGATTTCTATTCACAGCATCAAGGTAGTGGGTGAACATCCTGTAGTTCCCAAATCCAATTGAAATTAATGGGGTTACCTCCTTTATATTAACACAATGACCAAATACGAACAATTACTGTATATGCGTGGGTTATGAACTCCAGGAAACTTGCTACTACTAATCACCTGGAAAACATTATGAACTCCAAAAAGGAAGGGGTTGGCATCACCCAGCTATGGAGGGCAGACCAGCGACCACCATTGTCTGGCATAGGGGGAAGCGCTTCCATATTTGACGACAATCCAAACATCTCACGAAAGGTGTTCTCAAAGGCGGTTCTGCAATCATTTGGAGTAAAATGAGCCACGATCGAAAGTTAGCTATTTCTCAACTATAATTAATTAGTGCCAAGTCCACTCAATAGAAATGCCCATAAATAAAAGTACACTTCACGCCGCATTCTCAGCAGTCAGCATATTTTAGATACATTTACTATATAATTTCAGGCCAATTATGAGTGTATGCACATGCACAACGGACATCAAAGCAGGCATCAACATTTCATTGATGATCTTAAAATTTTTTCCAAATGGCATCCAGAAACTGAAAACGTTTCATATGTAGGAACAAAGGATAATGAAAATCATTGTTTGCAATTTCCTGACTAAAAAACCAATCGAAAGCACTAGAGAAGTAAATATCTACAAGTAAAATAAATCAAATGAAGCCATCCCAGCACAGAGCTTTCATCCAACATTTAATGAGACGTAAAATTACCTGCAAAGACCACCGTTCAAGATATCACACACTGACCAGAAAGTGGGAGCATTGCTGCCCCCCAAGATTCCACGATTCACTTGCAAGTGTGTCCAGAAGTATATAACATCTCCTTTAGTGTTGTCCCTTATAGTGTCTTCCAAGACATTTTCAGCTTTTGGGAATAAGGAAACCTGTTTCAAAATGAAGGGCTAAATGCAAATTGTATACAAGTAGGGTGAAGGGGCCCCAAATTTTCTTCTTGAAAATGGAGGGGGGAGGGGGACGCTGGCAAACTATAAATTTTGAAACAGTCAATCAGTACATAAATACCTTTCTTCCAGAAGCCCGCCATGATTGGAACCCAATCCAAGGTCTCTTATGAATGTTATCAATCTTATTTGCAATAGCAAACATTCCTCCAATCTCACAGAGAGTATCCTGATAGTAAGAGTCATTCAGAAGAGGAAGCCGTCCAACAGCATTGACATCATCAGATTTTAACCTCAGTGCCCTTGTGGACTGCCATAAAATTTAAGACAAATTCTTTACAAACTCAAACAGAACAGGGTAAAAAGTTCATAACTGCCCTTAAGATGTGAACGATGAACAGAAATGGCAAGTCTAAATTTTCAACTAGTCAAATACTACCTCAGAAACTTTTAAGAAAATCTTCAAGAGCTAAAGCGTCAAATGAGTAGAACTTCAAACTAAATGAAGTATCTACATGCATGAATTCCCAGCAGAGTTCTAGCTTAGAGGTAAAACAGATAGGGGTAGTTTTAAAAAAACACAGATGAGTGGAACTGATTCTTATGCAATTGACTAAGAAAGCAGAAACTATAAGTAAATGGAAAGTACGACTTGATAAAAACAAAAATGAATGGAGCGCACAAGACTTAGTCCACGGTACAAAGAGCCATGGTGCAAGAATGGCCAAGCTCCAGCACCACTGTATATCTCATAAATGGATACAGGTTGTCCCGTCCTTTCAAGCTCCCCCTCATCTCGTTCATTTGCCTCAAACTTGAGTTTTTCTGATTTCCGGGCATTTCGATATATTTCATCCCATGCACCTAGATCTCTCTCCATTCTTTCCTGAAACTACAGAAAAGGAAGATGATTCTAGGTTTAGCTGCCTATTTTAGAAGGATACGTGAGAAAGGGAAGTTCAGAACCAGGGGAAAGAAATGGTGAGAGCAAGTAATCCAATTGCAAGAAGGGTACCACAATATACCTCCTCCATTTCAACAGTTTCATATTCTTCAGTATTTTCTATTTCCTCCAAAATATCCCAATCATGTGGAGTTGGAATATCTTGCTCCAGAGTCCCGTTTCCAGTCTCAGAAGAGTTTGTTAAATTAACAAAATTAGTTATTTGTGCTTCAAGAGCAAAAATAACACTGGATTTGCTTGTTGCTGCAATCCTCTCTTCAGTATCTACCTTTTTGCCAATTGTCTGCACAACTTCCTCTCTGAATAAATTCCATTCCCAGGCCTCTAATTGAAGCTGGGAGACAGAACCTGGAAGTTTAACATCTGATGGGAAATTCAGAACATTCTCTAGGAGCCGTGCATAACTGGTAACACATTCCGATGCTAGTATATTCTTAGCAAGTAATTTTCCAGAGGAAGCTATTGCTTGTGAAAATCTGGAGAGCTTCCCATCTGATATCATTCGAGAGAAAGAATCCAATAAAGCATCAGGATTATGTTTTGGGAAGATAACCCCATGGACACCATCGACAATCTGAGAACCAGAGAAAATGCACAAGATAAGAAACAGCACAAGGAGAAAGATAAAAGAGATGGGAGTCGTGCTGTTACATTATGGAGCATATCTCAGACAAACTTACGTAATTTCTCAAGGCAGGCAAATCAGGCACCATGATTGGGATTCCAAATGACATGGCTCGAATAAGTAGAGGCGGAAAACTCTGTATTTCTTGAGAAGATCCATAGAGCACAATGTCAGCCATCATCAGCACATTGTTGACATCTCCATTTAAGCCATAATGTGTTATAGAATCATCAGGAAGTCCTAGACGTGAAGCAATCTCCTGCACAGGTTTAAAGATAGATCTATTGTCAGAAACAGATTTGTGCTCCTGTTGTGATACAGACTTCATGAGAGGAGTAAACAGAAATTAGGAACGATGATTTATCTTCTTTTCTTTCCTTTTTACATAAAAAACCAGGTATAAAAGGAGTATAAGCACAGATCACGAATAAGGAGGCCAATAACAAAAGTTGGCACAACATTTTAAGATGGAAGAGTAAAAAAAAAAAGAAGAAAAAACGAATCGTAATTGAAAAGATAAACAATCCCTACTAAATCAATATATTTTTATATAAAAGAAAACAATAGAGAAACTAGGTAAGTATTCGAAGCATTTTAAAAGTAAGCAAGAGAAGGAGATTGAACTCCTAAAGAAGCAAAGGAAAGATTATCTATGTGGCGGATAGAAATTCATGCAGGAATAGATGGTATTAGATCATTGGTTTTTTTAAAGAAGAAATGAAACTTTTCATTTGTGGAATAAAAAGAAACTAATGCTAAAAAATGCAAACTCCACGGGGGAGTGAATAAAAACAGAAAGAACTTAGAAAGAACACCATCTAGGAGCTTTAAATGAGCAGAATCAAAACAATCAAACCAAGGAAGATGCCTAAAAGTAATTGGAAAATTATTAGACAAGAACAGAGAGGATAATTTGAAAATCTTAGAATAGCTTAACATTGTTTAGTTGGAGTATGACCATACTGAAGAAAACCAAAAGCTACATTTTGGGAATTATATGTAAATCCATTAAACACTTCATCTATTCAGTATTCACCCAAATGCTGCCCAAACAGAATAAAGAATATAATTAGAAAAACAATCAAACCAGGGAAGATGCTTAAAGGTAATTGGAAAATTATTAGACAAGAACAAAGAGGATAATTTGAAAATTTTAGAATAGCTTCACATTGTTTAATTGGAGTATGACCATACTCGAGAAAACCAAAAGTTACACTTCGGGAATTATATGTAAATCCATTAAACACTTCATCGATTCAGTATTCACCCCAATGCTGCCCAAACAGAATTAAGAATATACTTAGAAAAAGAGGGAAATCACTTGCATTGCCAACTTAAAAGAACAACCATGTACATTCTCTTTTTTCTTCTTATTATACTTTCCTCTCTTTTGTTCCTTTTCTCCCCACCACAAAAAGTTAAAGACCATAAATGGGAAACGAAGAAACGAACCACAAGCATAACCTTTATGAACAATCTTGATGTGCTTTAGGTATAGGATGTATGTGGCAATGAATCATCCAATGGTGGAGAAGAATCAAGTGTGAATTTTTTAGATATACATCATAAAAGTTGAGCAACTACGAAATATTCTCTTCAATTTAAACATCAGTATAGAACTTGAATGTCCATCCACACACTTCAAGAAAAGCCAGAATCGCCCATATGATATAATAAAATAAATTTAAGTGTTTTAAGCCCCCAAGTTGAATACTTAATAACTTAAAGCTCTTGTTATCTCAGTGAGTAGTCTTGGTTGGGCAAACCCCCCCTAGAGATAAGAGGAGGAGAGCCATGGGCATGACGCGAGTGGAGTCCCGCTATCCCAATTATAAAAAAGATTGATGATAATAACAGATAAATAAATAAACTTGTAAGCTTTCGGTGCAAAAGAAAATTATACCTGCAAAGCACCATGGGATCCGTCAGTTGAATTACAACATAAGAAAATAAATTTGAATGATCCTCCTACTTCTTGCCTTGCATACTTTGTGAGTAGAGGTCCAATGCTATGCATTGCCACAGCATAGTCCCATGACAGCTCATTTGGAAAGAACAAGCTTCCAACGACTATAACCAGTATATCATCTTCATTAAATCCATTTTTCTCTCTTAGTTGACTTTTGGAGTGAACATTTTTGTAGTTTTCTGCGGCATAAACATCTGCCGGGGATCCAGGAATCACATAGAAGTTCCCGTTGTCCAAAATGCTATACAACATCTGATATGGTAAGGAAATGGCAAAGGCATAAGAGTGTGCAACGTGGAAATACAAGACTTACTATTAAAAAGCACAGCATTCAATAAAAAAAATAGAGACGAAAGGAAGACTTACTGGGAGGGAAAAATCAGGGAACACAACAATATTAGCCCTTCTGAAAGAACTCTTCCAATGTGAAATAAGATGCTTCCAGCCCCTTTGTTCATACATCGGCAAGCGGTTGGCAAGTGTATCTTCTCGAACTATCCATATAAGTGGTACAGAACAAAAAGGTTCCTGCATAAGGCTGCATAAATATAAACCTCACTAATCATAGTATCTCAATTCTCAAACTTTTAAGCACATGAAAACAATAGGACTCAGAAAGAAAAGTATTCTTATCAGCACATGCACACTCATGATCTTACCTTACCTTTTAATCACAGTTTCTTTTACACGTTACAAGCTCACACATAAACTAGAATGTATTGTTTCTCTGAAACTCTTACTGCCTCCTCCATTTCCATGTGTTATGTTACCGAAAACATAGAAAATGTTGTTTTTATTTATAGGTTCTTATTGGAATCATGAGCATTTATCATAGTTTTTTATTTAGTTCTTTTTCCAATTTCTTATATGCAGAAATATATTGACAGACAGTAGGTAACCTTTCCCTACAAGTCCCAGCTGATTACATTTCTATAAAATAGATGTTTAAATCAAACTACCGAACAGTGCTCTTTCGTTAAGTTTATAAATTTCTTTTTGGTTTTTACTACAAACATATTTGGGTAATTGTACTTTGAAAGTTAAGTTTCCCACCTAGAGTGACTGGCATTTTAATTCATCTTCAATTGTTATTTCACTTGTGAAAAATGAATTGAACTTATAGTAGACTCGATCTTTGTAAGCCACCTGTTTCAGTACTACTTTTTATTTATTTATTTATTTTGAGTTCAATAATGTGAAGATGGTGATTTAAACATTTGACTACTAGGAGAGACGTATAATATTTAACATCGTAAGCTATGCTCAGATTTGCTAGTGTGTAAACAACAGTGAACTTATCTATTAATCTAAATCCACTAGGATGTATTCTTGATATATATTATGAAAAAAACTAACACAAACTCTAGCAAGGAAGAGGTAGACTCTACCCCAACTATAACGGTTAATTTATAAAAAAAAAAGAAAAAAAATGAAGTTCGCACTATATTGCATGCCCATAATCTGTAGTCATGCCTAATGCAAATAAATTCATAAAGCACATCACAAATACCGTTAGGCCAAGAACCATTGACCTCATTGCAAGTATAAACAAAGATTACTTTACATAGTTAAAGATTTCACAAGATACTTTATGCTATAAAAAGGGGAGAAAAAAAACCTTGCAATTACTCCCTCTGCTTCCAAGGAGTCAGCAATAATACCATCATATCTGGAAAAAAAAAATGAATATAGAATCAACCATTTCTGCCAAGAAATTGAAATGTAGTCCCAGAGACTTCTTGAAAGAAAAGAAAAATCAACACCGAGAACATATTAAAAAAAAAGAATAGTGACAAAACATGCTAACAAACAAAAAGGAAGCATATACATTGACCAATCAACATGACCATAATGCTCTGGACTTAATATTGAAGGCTGGCCACCGATCTGTTTCCACATTGAATGCTCATTTCCACTCTCTACTGCAAAAATCTGTCAGATAGACCTTAATGAGGATCCAAAAGAAATAATTGTAACCAAAAGTTAAAGCATCTTTAAATACTTACGAGAACGAATCATGAACAACTGCATAAATCTACAAGAAAATCCATCCACCATATATGTACTGGAAAATGGAAACATAGTACCACAACAATGGACAAACGAAGGCAACTCTACAACTTCTACTGTCTTACGTAAAATAAAAATCCGAAAAAACATCTTTTTTGTAGGAATCACCAAAAAATAAAATAAAAAACAATAACTCACCTCAAGTACATAACCAAGTTTCTGTATGTTCTTCATCACAGTAATCAACATTAATGATTGTGGATTGCTCTCCATGCTTCCTAAGATCTGGCATCAGTGAAAGAATAAGGATAAAAGAAAGAAAAAAAAAATTGGTACATGACTTAATCCCTTGATGAATCCAGATTCAGATACTGTTAGTTCTTAAGCAGTCTAGAGTAAAATTAGAAATCATAAATAAGCTGAATTTTTAGATTAAAACATCATTTTCGTCCCTGTACTTTCAAATGTTCAATTTTAGTCTTATACTTTCAAATCTCCAAATTTAGACCTTGTACTAAATCATGAAATAAGTCCTTATTGGTACTTTCATACAGATTGCAAACAGGACATTGTTCAACTTCTGAGTGTGCAACTGTTTAAGGCCGAGGCCAAAGAGTCCTATGGACCAATGCCATTAAAGCCGTTCATTGGGTTTTTGGATAGAGAAGATTAGAATCTTGATGTGCATCATATTCAAAGAAAAAGGTGAGAGCAAGCACAAAGAGCTACAAAGTCAATTACAAACACTAGACCAACCCAAGAGGACCAGCTTCTCTCTTACTATTCTCTAACCAAAATTCTACCTACGTCAAGCATAGCACCACCCCCGAACATATACACTCATTCCTAGGATTTCCTAACTCTCGCTACATTTCCCCTTTAACCCCTCCTAATATACATTTTTACTGTCGGCAGCCCAATATGTTGGCATAAACAAAAAATTAAGAAAAATCACAAAAAAAAAACATTATTTTAAAAGACCTATTAAATCAGGAAAATGTTAAAAGCGCTACTTTCTCTGTTTTAAAATGCTATTGTATTAATGTTCGTAGGGTAGTTTTGTTTATATGAAAGAACTTTACTCAATATTCTGAACTATTCTTCCATGTTTTTTCTCAATGAAAGCTCGATTTCTTATTAGAAAATAATTCAATGGAAATTAAGTTAAGCTAATTGTTAAATTTTCATGATCAAATACCTGACACTTTTGGTATTGTGAGAACTGCTGTGTTGTTGCAATTATGCGCATTCCTAAATTGTAACGAGTCTACGAACAGTTATTTTACTTTCAATGTTTTCATAAACTCGTTTGTCAAAAATTAGACAGATCCTTAGAACTTGAATACATACTCCAAGTGGATGAAAGTTATTGAACCTAAGTCATGGAAGAGGACCTACATGAGTGCCGTTGGTTGGTGATACAGAATCCAAATAAATGGTTTAATCTACTTCGCAGGATTGAACTAACGTGTGATGGGAAATGTGTAGTGATTCATACAAATTAACTGATAGAAATCTACAGAATTCGCTCCCAATCTAGTTTTGACAAGACCTCCATTGATGAGACAGTGCGCATAGCCAATAAGAAATGAAATGCAATGAACTAAGTGGTATGTGCCAAATCTTGATAGCTATAGTCAGCGAATCGAACGCAAGTAGTTTCAAACAGCAGTAAAAGAAAACTAATACTCACTAGAGCAAGCCTGGGTGCACGAACGCCAACACGATCCTTCTTCCGCACCTCATCGAGCCCAACACCTTCCACCAGCCTCCTCGAAATCCTCCCCGGAAAAAACTTCAGCGAGCTCCCAAACTTAATACGCTCCATAAGCCACCGCCCCCTTTCACTTCCAGGGCTAGACATCAAACTAATGGAGCTCTGCAACAACATAGAACCGGAAACAAAGGCAAATACTGCAAAAACAACGACAAAGTAGAAAAACGTTTGTCCTCTAGCCGGAAGCCACCAGAGCAAGCCCTTGCGATTGATCCGACTCTGGTGAGATCGGGAGCGAGGAGTTGCATGATCCAGTGAGTCCTTGGCTCGCAAACGGAAGTGACTGGAATTCCGCTTGAAAGGAAAACGATCACGACTCGAGTGAAGGACGGGGACGGCATTTCCACTCCCATTGTCGTCGATCTCTGTAGATGAACTCCGTCTCATTCAGAAGATCCTGTGCTCCAAATCTTTATGCAGAGCGTGATGAGCAATGGATTTGCAAGAATTGAAGAGAAGAGTTTCGAGAATGGATTAGAAATGATGTGAAACTCAGATTTCATTCCGCTTTAGAACACGACAAATGCAAAATTACATAATTACAACAACTTTTCACATAAAAAAGATTTTTTGCCAAGTCGGCCAATTTTACATTCATTTATTTTAAATAAATAAATAAATAAATAAATATATATATATATATATATATATATATATTTATTCCTTTACTTTATTTTATTGCGTCATTAAGTCTTTTTTTAATTACTTTTTTTTTTGTTTAACGCGGTTTTTGACTACCTGTCTCAACAAATATATAAATAAATAAAATAAAATAAAAATATACACGTGGATACTCTTTGTATTAACTAAATACTAAATTAATAAAAAATACATTTTATTTCATCTTTAAAATATCATAATTTTGAGTGACTCAATTAAAAATTTTCAAAAAACAAATTTGTTGTGGCCGTATGACAGATGTCCTAGTCTTACTTGTTCGAGTCGGTTGACAGGGACGTCAACCAATTGAATAAGAGAGAATGTCACGGTCCTACATGTTTGAAAGACGTTCTTACAAAGGTGGCACAAGATGACCGAGCAAACCTTTTCAAAGGGAGCTCCCTCCGTACTGAAGCCCCTTATTCCACTCGATAATTACTTGAGTTTTTTTTCTTAAAATTAAACTTATTTTATTTCATTTTTCTATATCACGATTTTAAATATTTATAATAAAACATTTGAGGTTGTAATCAAATTCAAAACACCGACAAATAATTTTAACATTTATTGAAAAATAAAAAATAAAATAAAATAAAATCGATTAGTCCACACCGTTTTGGGCCGGCTACAATGAGAGGGCCCATTAATAAACTCGGACGGCCCAGTCCATCAAAGTTCAATAACAAAGGGACATAGATTTCAACAAAATTACATCCATCTCCCACGCGCGCCATTCAACCCCACCGGCCATTCGTGTTGGAAGCTTGCAGAATGGCACCCTGGCCTGCTCCCTGTAACTCGTCTGTAGGGTTTTAGACCTCTTCTATCCGCCATTCTTCTTCTACGCGCGCTTTACCAGACTCGAGGTACTGTTCTCTCATCTCATGCACTTTCGTCTTACTCTTACACTGCAATTCTGATATTCTTGGCTCTCTCCCCTTCAATGGCGATTTTATTTTTCTCTGTATAAGGTTATCATTTCCTCTCATGGCCGCTAGAGTTTCATGCAATGCTAGTTCTTCGTCAATGTGTTCTTTTCTTTTCGTTGTTTTGTTATCTGGGTTGCTTTTACAGGAGCTTCTTTCTCCAAGTTTATTATAGCATCTGGTTCTTGGAAACTTTTATAGACATGAGCCGTTGATTGTGGTTAATTGCGTGGCGTTTCGGTTTCCCCTGGGTTTTGATCCTAATTTTACTTTATTTTTTTTGTCTGAGATATTAACTGTGCGTGTCGATTATATTGCAATTTCAGATGGTTAATATGGGAAGGACAATAAGTATTTGTAGATAATGGTACAATAGGGAGCTGACCAATGGAACACTTGTTTCTTGAATTATTGGTTAGTTCATGGTAGCAATCTTCAGTTTTGTTTGATTCCCAGTGCATGTATGTGGACGCGTTGTATTTAGTTTTCAGCCTAGCGTCGATTTTCTATGGTTCTGTTCATTTATCATGTTTTTTTTTTCATTTCCAGATGAGTTCTTTAAGCATTTTGTCATTTAGTAAAATGGTAGTGGTGTGAATGGGTTGGCGCAATTGCTGGAAAAGTAAAGGGAGTTAGATCGAGCGAGTTAAAGCCCCACAGTGGCCATCTACCTAGGCCTTTTAGTTTTCTCGACGACTAAATATAGTAGGGTCAAACAGTTGTTCTAAGATTACTTCGTTTTAGTATGAAATTACAAATTTATGGTCAGAAATTTGTTGCAAGCAGTTATTTATTCATTTTTCTTTATGATATTTAACTAATTGGTAGCTCAAAAAGTGGATAAATGGATGTGCTATATCAGAAGGCACGACTTGTGATCAGAACTAAACTTAGCTTCCAGTATATATATGTCTTATCGGACTTGTTAAACTTGAGTTGAGCAACATCAAGCAATCATTCCACATGTCACAGGTTTGTTCACAGTAATTTCTAAGTTGTTCTAAAAGGGAAGTCAACCTTTTTCTGTACAATCTGTTAAATGTTAAAGAAAGTGAAATATCCAGTGGCTCTCATTTCATCCACTTCATTCTGGAACGCAGACTTTATATGGGCGGAATCATCTTATTACTGTTCTGTTAACTTGTAGGTTTGTACTCTAAGAAGGGTTGAACTTTTTGGATTTCATGCATGCCTTAAAGGGTGGGTGGCCAGGGTGTCCTCTTGCCCTAGCCAAGTACAATGAGTCTGAAGGGAGGAAGACCAGAATTCGGCGTTCGAAGGAGGAAAGGAAGGCAATGGTTGAAGTCTTCATAAAAAAGTAACCACATAATGGTTTTAGTTCATATTTTTGCATCTGCTGATCTTCTAAAGTATGCATGAATCATTTAGATTGTTGAAACTATTATCCCTGCATGATGACATTTCACTTTCAATTATATTGAACTCCCAAGTGCTAGATATCTTGCTTGAGAAAACCTTGTTCTGCTATGTGATGTTCTCACTCCATGATTTATCTAAGCTGTTCATGTTTAAACATGGATCGCTGTACTTTGCCACTTGTTTTTGGATTTTTTTTTTTGACATTGTTTTCTAGTTGAGCTTTTGTTTTACCTTTTGGATAGCAAGTATCTAGCAACTGTTAGGCGGATAAATTCTTTTGCGACTGAGTAGTCATGGTTATTCTTATCCAAAAAATAGTCATGGTTATTTCCCTTGGTATGAATTGGAATAAAAACCTACTCCAATTAGTTGAGCTTTTACCAGTATGGGAGTGGTTAGCTTTGAGAGTAGGTATGAAAAAAGAAAATCTTCTAAAAATCACAATGGATAGCATTTTTTTTTATTGCACGTATATTGGATGAGCATTTTTATTTTGAACAAGAAACAAGGGATGAGCATTTTGATTGGGACACTTAAAGGCATAAGTTTATTTATTTGTTTTTTTATTTTTAGTTCTCAGGATAGAACCATTGAAAATCGAGATCCGTGACTGTTGGTTTATTCGATGGAGTGAAGTAACTTTTTCATTTTGAAAATTTATTTCATAAAAGATTTCTAAAACCAAAGAAACCAGTAAACCGTGAAACCTTGCAATAAGTGACTTCATTTACTGATATCTATATACTAATAAGGATAAAATAAAGAGTTTAATTACCCTACAGCATAATTTTGTTAATACTTAATATAGGATTGTATTGTAGCCTTCCTTCTCCCTTAAATGACACCCTTGTTCCTTAAGGGAGGAGAGTTCTTTGAGGGTGATTTTGATATCATGTGAATTAATGCCGAGCCTTTTGATTTCAGAATGTACCAACTCCTTTGATATCATTTCTTTGAAAATGTAAGAGCTCTTTTGGGCAAACTGAAAGGGCTCTAGTTCTTCTTTAAGTTCCAGAATTTGTACTCTTTGTGAAAAGCTAGCTATCAATTGAAACAATGTAGTTATTCATAAATCTGAAAAATATGTGAAGAGGGCGTGCATACAAAAAAAATTATTCAAGAGAATCTGAACCTCTATTGTCGAACTTTTGAGGAACACAAACTTCCCAACAAATTGTCTGTACAAGTAAGTTCTCATTCCTCATTAATCTCATGATTTGAATGCTATGGTATGGAAACAATGTGCTGTTAAAAATCCTTAAAATCAAAGAAATTACAAGACCAAGATAACTCCCATTAAAATAGAAAACTTATTTCACTGCTTTTGATACGGATGTAATTTGTTTAATTTGTAAGAATATGACATGGGATCCTAACATCCTGCTTCCAGGTATCAGGAATCAAATAAGGGAAGTTTCCCTTCACTCAACCTTACTCACAAGGAAGTTGGTGGATCTTTCTATACAGTGCGGGAGATCGTACGTGATATAATCCAAGAAAATAGAGTTCTTGGTCCAGGAAAGTTGTCACTAGAAGAGCACAGCACGGATCATTTACTTGAAGAGAATCCACTGCACTCAATTGCTATTGAACCTCAATCTCCTTTAACGTCGCCCTCAGAGGAATTTGATTTTCCAATCAACCACAACCATTGTATAAATGAAGAACCAATCATTGTTTCAGATGAGGAGCAATACACTTCAAAAAATATTCAGGGATCACAGAATGGGGTCATAATTAACGGCAGCCTGGTGGATGCCAGTGACAAGGATTCTGATGAATTTATCCAGACAGAGTTGCCAGTAAATGAACACAAGAAAATAGAGGACGTGTTGAAAGAGGAATCAGGAATGCCTATTAATCATGTAACTCCTTTGGCTGTAGATGTCAAGGTAGGGACATTCCCGTTGGATTCATTTTCTTGGGCTGCTAATGGTTCAGATGTAATATCTGAGACTTTGATTTCAACCGATGCCTCGGAAAAGAAAGTTAGTCAAACCATCGAGTTAGAATCAGATGTTAGCTTGTTTAACAGTGAAGATAATAATTCCACGAAAGCTTCTGGTCGTGCGGATGAAAAGGCATTCTCAGAAACAATGTCTGATTTGGTGGAGGTAGCCCAAATTGTTGAAGTCACTAATGGAACTATTATGAAAGATGGTCGCATACATGAAGTTGAGGGTCCTGGGTTGGAAATTTGCACTGATACTCCAATATCTGTGACATTTGAACAAGGCCAGAAATCTAGTGAAATAAAGGTGAGTGCTCTATTTCTTTGTGGCCAAGCACAGAATGGCGTTAAAGTTTTTTTTTATCTATCGTCTTTTAAATTTCTGGGGCATAGGTATAAATGCTTAAAGTTGACTTTTGGATTATGACAAAATATCGTGGGGGCAATAGCAATTTTACTCGAGTCGTTTCTGGGCCAGTTGAAACTTTGAGCGAGGAAAAAGAACAGAGAATTTCTTGCATCTTAAACTTTTTGGATGGTGTTTAGATGTTCATTTGCATGTGGGTGATCTTGTTTCAATGTTTTTG